TTCCTTCCTTCCTTCCTTCCTTCCTTCCTTCCTTCCTTCCTTCCTTCCTTCCTTCCTTCCTTCCAGCATGTCTCTTAGCTGGGAATTCATCAAGTAGCTAGGTGTTCTTTTTAAAATATGGGTGCTAAGGAATTAGACAACCTTTAAAAATGCAGTAAGACCTATCTAATACAATAATCAGAGTTAACTACAGTGGCATATGCACTTCTTATCACTAGTTCAAGGCCAGCCTGGACTATGTAGTGAGACTCTGTGTCTACATATAAGTAAAACCTGCTCACCCCACTTAAACTTTAACCCTTTAGGCATTTTAAGCTCACCATTTATTGACATTTAGAATAATCACAATGCCAGGCAGCTACGATCTCTGTCTAGTCCCAGCATATTCAGTCACCATGTAAGGAAGCTTGCACTCAGCATTTCTCACTCCCCTTTCTTCAAGCCTGCAACCGCCAATCTCACTGTTACTGTAGATAGACCTCATTCATGTATTTTCCATGGATGGGATCCACTGGCCTTGCCTGCTTCTCACCGACTTCATCCCTGGACCCCAAGGTCACTCTGCAGGTAAACAGTGGAGGCCTGGAGAGGGTGCACGTCCATCCCCGAGGCTGGAATCCCTTCCAGAGAACAGGCCTAGGCGGGTAGGATGAGAGATGGCTCTGTGTGTGTGTGTGTGTGTGTGTGTGTGTGAGGGAGGGGGACCCTCTGTGCTCTGGCTGTCTAGTCATCAGAAAAGCAGAAGACTGAAGAGGAGGCTCAGTGAGTTTAAGTGCGCTTAAAAATCTGAGTTTGGATCCCCAGAACCTATGTGAAAAGCCAGATGTGGTTTGGTGTTTCTGTAAATGCAATTGGTGGTGGTGGTGCTGGTGGTGGTGGTGGTGGTGGAGGAGACAGGAAGTTGGCTTGAGTTCACTGGTCAGTCAGTCTAGTCAAAACTGAGTGAGCTCTAGGTTAGTGAGAGACCATTCCTCAAGGGAACAGAGTGGAACACTGAGGAAGAGAACTGACGTCCTGCTTTTCATGGGTATGGAGGCATGTGATTGATTGTGTGCAGGCATTTGCAGACATGCATACCCAACATGCACATGATACACACACACACACACACACACACACACACACACACACACACACACACAGAGTTACAGGTTCTCGATTTCTAAGGCTGCCCATGAGGGTTAGAATCCCTTCTTGGAGATACTGATCCAGTTACACAGAGCCACCATGATCCTGAGCATTGTCGAGGAAGAGGACACACAATGGCCTCTTACCTCCCAGGTTTCCCTGGTGTCCTTGTGGGTCCGTCCTAGCTTCCTTCCTTGCCCATGAGGCATATGGACTTCTATTTTTCCTGTCACCCACCAGATCCCACAAGACCGGTCACTTTCAGGGTAGTCCCAAAGATGAAAGGTCGTAATATAACCTCTTCTTTGACCTGTTCTGGTGCTGGCCCGCAGGCTGGCATTGCATCTTGCCCCTCCCCCGACCTCTGCTGGAAGAGCCATCCTGGCGCAGCCCCACTCCTGCGCAGCCCTTCCACACCAGCAATTACTTCTCTGCTTTCTATTTACCTTTGTGCTTTTTATTTTTTATTTTGGAACAATTTTGGAAAATGTTGCAGGAGTAGGGTCCTGGTATAGCCTCTGGTTAGCAACTCTGAGGGTTACCATCTACCCAGACACCCAACGAAGATCAAAACCAGGAAGGAGAATGTAGTCAACACCTGTCCAAGGTTCACGCACTGTCTTGTTTATGACTGTTTTGGGTCTAGGAATATAATTGTCACATCTTTTCCACATGCCTTTGGCTTTTAATCTTTCCAAACCTTGACATTTTTGGAGAAAACTTGGTCTGGGACTAGAGTTCCCTATGACTGAGTTTGACCTGTGATGAGTAACTCCAGTTCACTCTGTTGCGAGGCTCCGAGTCAGTCGGTCTACAGTTTGGAACTTCATTACTATGCCTGCCAGGTTTCCCCACAGGCGAGCCATGACTAAGATGAGGATGTTGTCTTGGTGGTTACTAATGGCCTCAAGGTCTCCTGGAGATCATCATGGAGACCTGGGAGCCTTGCTTTTGTTATCAATTGACTCCAGGAGACTCTTGCCTGTCACAGTAAGTCTTGCCCTGCTCGTTTCCTGATGGCTACTGGAGGCCATCACTCCCTTTGGGTTTATGAACTGACTTGTGCTGTAAGGAAGAATTATTGCCCCATTCTCCAAATGCCGGTGCAGTGAGTGTGTCCGCTCACACCTGCTCCTGGGTAGGGACTTCAGTTTCCAGGCTGTAGGCCACTATTATCAGTGTTTGGTCTCCCAGATTCCCACTGATTTGGACATTAAGTGTGCTATAGCTCATTGCCAATACTTTTTCCATATGCCCTTGTCAGGTTTTGAGGTCTCTCTCTCTCTCTCTCTCTCTCTCTCTCTCTCTCTCTCTCTCTCTCCTTCTCTCTTTCTCTCTCTCTCTCTCTTTTCCCAGGTGGCAAAAGATCCTTTGGATTCACTTTGAATTTTCTTAGACTCAACCTAGAATCAGCCCTTATGTTCTTTTAATGGAAATATGTGGACATGAGAACTCAGGCCTGGGTGTCCACGGTTGGTGGGAACCACTATGGGCTCCATGCTTTTCCCTCTCCCCCACCTTCTCGTCCCCCCTTTCTTCCCTTCCTTTCCCTCTCTCTCTTTGCTTCCTTCCTCTCTCTCTCATTTCTTCTACTGACTCCTTTCTTTTTTCCTCATTCCTTCTCTTTCTTTATTTTTCCCCTTTCTCCCTGTTCCCACCCCTCCTCTTCCTCCCTTCTTCCTTCCTTCCACAGTGTCTCTATACTAGTCTGCCTGCCCCACTAGGACCTGGTTCTCCTTTCTTGCTCTTCGATTCCCTTCCAGCACAATGCCTGGTTTATGCTCTAAAAATAATCCTGGAAAGCTCTTACAGCAGCACGGCCCAAGTCCTGCTTCCCACGACTCCTCTTAGTTAAATCCAGGAGCGACTGCTACTCCCTTTGAGCACTGCCCATTGCCTTGCAGACACCTCTCCCTCCTCTCAGGAAATGCCTGTCAGGGTTAGGCTGGAGGTAGATTTGCAGCTGTTGGGATTTTTCAGGCTGGTGGGAAAGGGCAGATCACAATGGTATTCCCAGGATCTGGGGCCCAGGCAAGTGGAGAGCAAAGAGAGGCAGCTGGAAGGAGATGACATGGGAGCATCTGACCAGGCCAAGGGTTGGATCAGGCTCCAAGCCCAATATTCACAGCTCGCATCAGAGCCTACTGTGCCCAGAGATGTGCACTGGCTTAAGCACCCTCCAACCTTAACCTCTCTCAGTTATAGCCCTACT